AGGAAGGGAGGAAGGAAGGAAGGAAGGAAGGAAGGAAGGAAGGAAGGAAGGAAGGAAGGAAGGAAGGAAGGAAGGAAGGAAGGTCTTTCTCCTAATTTGGATCTCCTACAGTTCTAATGCTGCCAATGGAACACAAATATTTCACCCCAGTATATAACTGAAAAAGAAATCTAGGATTTTCTCCAAGTTCAGATTTTGTTTGATCTTCTCAAGCTTTTGATACTTGAGAGAATTAAGAAAAGACACGGGACAAAACCCACCTTAATGATGTGAACAAACTTTGACCTTTCCAACACCCCTTTGGAGTGTGGCGAGCGCAGTGGAATCAGCCCCACCAGCCTTGAGCAGGGCTGCTCAGACCTGACAGAAAAAGTTAACACACCGCGAACACACCTTCCCGATGGAGGGAGAGGCAGGAGAGGCATTCCGTCCCTTTGAGAGGGAAAACAAACACCCTTCCAAACATTCATGGCAGAGCACTCCGCAGCTCTGTTGACTTTGGTTATTTGCACTGTGCCACTTAAGTCCTTTTCTTATTTTTTAATTTTTTTTTTTATTATTATTTGAGAAGGGAGGAGAAAAGGTTTTCCTCGACCTGGCCAGGCAAGCCCAGCTCAGTGCATGAACGAGCCACAGACGGCGAGGGGACACGACCAGGACCACCGGGGCAGAGGCAGCGTGGAGCGCCCCGAGCCCCCACCGTGACCGAGGGCGCTCCAGGGCGCTTCCCAGCAAGTCACCCCACAAGGCACTTGTTCCTCTACGCACTTACTTATTTTATTTTCAGGACACCACGGGTGTGAGAGAGCGGTGTGGGGACAGATTCCCTTCCTCGGCACGCCGTGGGTGCGGCGGTGCGGGATCAGCCCGCTGTGGGTGCCGGAGGACGCGCACGGCGCAAGGGCTGCTGCGCTCCCGGCTCGCTGCCCGAGCTGCCCGGACATCACCCCGCTGCAGGACATCAGTTTGCAGAGACATCTCCCCCCGTCCCCACCCCTTCCCCCTCCATCCTCCCTTCCCACGCACACGCAGCCCAGAGGAGCCCACCGCCACGCTACCAGCCAGCCCGGAGCCCAACTTCGTTTCAAACAACAACAAAGCCACCAAAATGGTTTTGTTTGGAGGAAAGTTTATAAGAAACCCGGCTTGCCAGATGCACGTTACTGGTCAGTTCCATCTGTTAGCTTCGTTTACAGACCCTAAAAAAAAAATCATATAGACCGTTTTCGCTTTTAACTCCCTCCAATCCAATTAATAACGCGAGTCAAACTGCAAAGCACTTATTAATTGCTCCCAAAGAAAAATCTTCCAGGAAAGTTAATTGGGAGCTTTCTGGTTTTCCAACCAGCTCTATGAGCAGAGCAGACAGACTTTGCCTTGAGTTTCATTGTGGCTGAGCACGTTGTTTATCCCCTGCCTAAAGTTTGCTTCTGCTCCTGAGCTACAGATTCTTTACTTTTTTTTTTTTTTTTTTTTTTTTTTTTTTAAGGAGTCTGGAAAAAAAATCAGACTGGGCTGGGAAGAGTGGGAATTTTAGGGAAAAAACCACCAAACTCACAAGAAAATTCCAAGTTCCTCTCTGGGATCATCTTACTTCAGATTCATTGAGGTGTGTAAAGTGTGTGGTGCTGCTGCAGGGACACAGTCTGGGCTCGATGTCTGGCTGCTGCGTGAGAGCAGCTCCTGAGACTCACAGAGCTCTCATCTCCTGTTTGCCTTAAAAAACTTTTCCCAGCATTTAGGAGCCTGAAATCACAATTTTCCCTTTAATGCTCCATCTGGCCTTAGCTCCTGCATTTTGCTGGTCACCCAATAATAGTTACATTTATTTTTAATTAAGAGCCTTCTCTTCCAGTGAAAGCCACCAGAACTTGGTCTTTGCTGGACTTGAACTTCTGATGACTTTTGTGGGAGTTTCTTGTGTCTGAATGAGATCAGAGAGTAGTTCTAGACATCACAGGCAGCCAGAGTCAGCAGTGCTAGGGTGTACAGTCAGAAAGGGTTTTTTGCTGTCCATCCCCCTTTGTCCTCTGCATTTCCCAAAATTTGAGGGCTTGGAGCTTTGGGGATGTTCAGCTGACCCAAAAGAAAAGCAGCCCTGGGGTCACTTTTGTTCATGCCTGGGTCCTGACCATTATTTGCAGAGCTATTGCTGTTGACCCTGGATTATCTCAGTTGATCAGAGCATGGAGCTGATAACAGCACCGAGGCTGTGAGTTTGATCCCTGTATGGGCCATTCTTTGTTTTATCTTTTTTCCTCTCCATTGAACTCCTCCCTCTTGTATGGCAGAGGGGCTGAACCTGATCATGGTCCCCTCTGTGCTGAGCATCACCACCCCATCTCCTTTCTCTGAATTTCACAGGAAGGGAAAACCCTGGGAGAGCCCAGACTTCTGCAGGTGGGAAGGAGGGAGTTGGAAACCTCCCTCCACATACACCCACAGATTACACCTGCATTTCCAAATAAACCTCTCTGTGTGAGAAGGCGTGGGGTTTTTTTCCCCATTTCCCTTTAAGAATCATAATTTTGAGGACCCAAATTACATGATGTTGCTTTTCCTCTGCCAAGGAGAATGATTTCATATTGGAGTTCACAGAGTGTAGCTATGGGCAATAGAAATGGTGAGTTTTGAAGTGGTTTTCTTCAAACCTCAAGACAAGAAATGTCCTGCAAGAGATTTTTCCCTGCCCTCTGGACACAGCTTCCAAACCCACCACCATGTTCCCTCCTCCTCCAAATTTCTATTCTGCATCACCACAACAGCTGAAAGGCAACATTTTGGGACAGAAAATGCATTTGCAAGCAATTAAAATGCTGTGAATATATTAGTCAAAACTTAAAGAGTATATCTGTTGTCTTCAGTCATTTCTTTGATGGCAGCAAGGCTTCCTGCTTGTTGAGGCTTTCATGAAGACTTGAGGGCAGTTTATTTCAAGCCAGGTACCAGGTGTCACCCAGAGCAAATACAAAGGGAGAGGTGGG